CACCTGACCGGAGTGGCACATTTGAAATCAGGCCCTCGTATTCCTGGAGACATCACTAAATTAAAGATTTTAATAAAGTGTGCAAAATCTCAAGTTCATCTCTCTGATGGACTCAGGTTAATAGACAACACAGACCAGGTTTCTGTACTTCAGAAGAATTTCAATTTATTAAAAAAAAGTAGATTTTCAAGGTTTGAGTGAAGATTTGAAGCTCGGGTGCTGGTTGTAGATGTTGGCATGTTCGCTGAGCTGGGAGGTTTGATAGCAGACATTTCGTTCCCTTACTAGGAGACATCCTCAGTGCTCTGGAGCCTCCTGTGAAGCACTGTTGTCTTGTGCCAGTTTGAATTTATACGGTCTGGTTTTTGCTGCTTCTGGTGGGTCCTGGTTCCGGTTGTGCATTGTAATTAGACCAGAATATACCGACCATTACAACGCACAGCCGGAACCAGCATCTACCGGAAGCAGCAAAAACCAGACCACATAAATTCAAACTGGCACAAGACAACAGTGCTTCACAGGAGGCTCCAGAGCACTGAGATGTCACCTAGTAAGGGGACGAAACGTCTGCTATCAAACCTCCCAGCTCGGCAAACACTCCAACATCTACAAAATAAGTAGATTCTAACCACTAGTAAACAATGACATATTGACATATAACTCTATCAGTAAAAGCTCTAACCCCTCTAGCTTTAACCCAGCTAGCAAACACCTTGGTACTACATTTGGAGGGAAAACGTAATAGGGGAAACAGTTTGATATCACCAGTCCTCAGGATTTGATGTGGAGTCCTCTTGTTTCCAAAGTCTTTTCTTCAGGTTCATAGAATCATCACTGAGAAGGTTCATGATGCATAATATTATTTAGAACATTGGGTCCTAATATGGACAGATCAGATATAGCTTGAAGTTTGATAATCAGTTCTATATTGTATGGGGTTAGGAAGGGCTTGCTTTTGTTTTTGCGCTCGGAGTGTGGTGCCGGGGTGTCTGGTAATGTGTTTATGCAGATTTAAAGTAGACTTTAAAAGAAACCCTTGAGGTGAACAGTTCAGCACTTTACAGAACAAGGGTAGAACAGAAAACAAAAGTGCTGTTGCTTGGTAATAAAATGTCATATGAACAGGGAAACAAAGACAAAAATAATTTCTCTTTAGAAAAGGAGAACCATCCAGAAGGTCAAGGAGTGTGCAGGTTTCTTACTGACAGAAGTAGGTCAGTCAGGTTAAAAAGGGCTGCAAGAGCAGCAATGCGGTCAGGACAGGAGAAAAACAGGATGCTGCCTGACATGCTATGATCTCCAGCATTTGAATTGAATTGAATCATTTATTGTCACATATATTCAATATAAAAACAGTGGAAAGTGTGTACCATCGCTGTACATACATGCTGCCATTCACATTAATTTAAAATAAGACAAGAAAAGAAAGATAACTTAAGAGAGTCCAACTTTCCTTTCCACTGCCGCAGTCCCACTCCGGGCTTTTCAACCCTCGCCATGCTGCTGCCAGTGTCCCACTCTGGGCTGCCCCACCGGCCCTGCTCTTGCCCTCGCTGCCACTGCTCCACCAGTCCCACTTTCACCAGCCCACTCTTGATCTGCTGCCGTCACTCCGGCCCACGCTCAATCCACCGTCAGGGTAGGAGACAACCCACGCGTCCAGCTCCCGCCGCATGGTTCCTGGTCGCAACCCAGCTCCTTCCCGACTCCTTAGGTAGGTACTTGAAAAGGGGGTGGGGGGGGGAATAGAATTACTGCAGAGGGGCGGGGAGAAGGAGGGAGAAAAAAAAATGGAAGGCCCCAAAGAAACAAACAGAAATAGAACTGGCGAGCAGAATGGAGCTCTGAATAGAATGACTTACCCTGCCGCCTTCTATGTCAATCTATCACCGTTGCTTCCGTCCTTGCCCCTTTCTATCACTCACAACATTTTCGGATACCCCTTGCCCTCACTTTTCATCCCACCAGCTTCCGCATTCAAAAGATCATTCTCCACTATTTCAGACAACTCCAGCAGAATAGCACCATCAAATGCATCTTCCCCTCACTCCCCCGTCTGCATTTCACAGGGATCGTTCCCTCCGGGACACCCTAGTCGATTGAGGCTGTTTTCGTTAGAGAGACGAAGGTTAAGAGGTGACTTAATAGAGACATACAAGATGATCAGAGGATTAGATAGGGTGGACAGTGGGAGCCTTTTTCCTTGGATGGTGGTAGTTAGCACGAGGGGACATAGCTTTAAATTGAGGGGTGATAGATATAGGACAGATGTCAGAGGTAGGTTCTTTACTCAGAGAGTAGTAAGGGTGTGGAATGCCCTGTCTGCAAAAGTAGTAGACTCGCCAACTTTAAGGGCATTTAAATGGTCATTGGATAAACATATGGATGATAATGGAATAGTTTAGGTTAGATGGGCTTCAGATTGGTTTCATAGGTCGCGCAACATTGAGGGCCGAAGGGCCTGTACTGCGCTATAATGTTCTATGTTCTATTTACTGATTACTGACACCAAACCCCCTTCCCACGCCACCCTCCCATGTAACCACAGAAGGTGCAACACCTGCCCCTTCACCTCCTCCCTGCTCACCCTCCAAGGGCCTAAACAGTCTTTCCAGGTGAAGCAACATTTCACCTGTACCTCCTTCAATCTTGTGTATTGCATTTGTTCAACCCAATGTGGCCAACTCTACATTGGAGAAATTTAACTCAGACTGGGTGCCCGCTTTGCAGAACAGCTCTGGTCTGTGCACAAAAATGACCCCAACCTTCCGTAGCGGATCATTTTAACACAGCGTCCTGCTTGCATGCCCTCTTGTCTATCCTCACATGCTGCAGTGCTCCAATGAATCACAGTACAAACTGGAGGAACAACATCTCATCTTTACAACGTTCTGGACTTAATATTGAGTTCAACACCTTCAAACTGTGAACCAACCCCAGGTCCTTCCTTTTCTTTTGGCTTTACTTATTACATGCTCTATCACCAAGTCCACTCTTCCCTCCCCGACCCCAGTGGGACTGTCTGTTCTTCCGAGTCTGGCAGTGAAGACACATCGTTGTTCTGCCATTCTCACATTCTGATCACATAATCTGAACTATCAAAATCCTTTCCCCGCCAGCACTCTACACTCCACAACCACCACCACCCCAACTATAGCATGAATGCTGCCCCCTTCCATCTACACGTCAGCTGATGAAGAGTCATCTAGACTTGAATCGTTAGCTTGCTCTCTCTCCATGGATACTGCCTGACCTGCTGATCTCCAGCATGTTATTTTCAGGAGGAAAAGAGATCCTGAGTGATTCAAAGTCAGCAAGCAGAAATTCCAGAAATGGAAGGCTACGGAAGAGGGGTTTAAGAAATTCATGTTAAAAAGCGGTGTTAGCAGTTTAAGGGTCTCATGAAGAGACATTAACTGAAGCAATTAGCATAGAGTGAAGGCAGGCATTTGCCAAAAAGAAACTGATTGCCAAGTGAAGAAGGAATTTTAGAACAGAAACAAGATGATCCTACACCAAGGTTTAAGAATCTGTAAGGTTATTGTTGAGGGTAAGAGTTGAAACTTCTTGACTTTGTAACGAGTTTCAAATAGTTCTTATATAGTTTGAATTAGGTTGACTTTTATCCCTTTTGTGTGTAACAATACTGCATGTTCTTTGTTTGAAGTACATTGGCAGCCTCTTGTGAATATGTTCAGTGACTAACCATCAAGGTCAATTACAAAATTAAAACTTATGGTCTAAAATACCAGGTTTCATTTTAGGATCTGACTTGTCCACTATTACCATCAGCTGGGCTCAATCCATGACCCAATTCCTATTCAATAGCCATTGATTCTGGAAATGCCTTCAGATAACTGATTATGTGAAAGCCAATCAATATGCACATTGCTGATCCACATAACTTTGGACTCAACCCATAACATTATCACTCAGTTTTCTTTCATTGATGTTAGCGCAGCCCAGAGACAGCACTTGTCTCTAAACTACAAGAGGTTGGAGGTTTGAACCTCACTGCAGGGAGCTAAGCACAGCATCTAGGCTGAGACTTCAGGACTGCATTGCTGGGGCTCGGTCTTTAACCCATGCCTTGCCTGTGATATTGACAGATGAGGTGGGGAAGAATACTTGCCAATCTTTGTCTCAAAATCCCATACAAGATTAAATGGCAATCACTTTTACTGCTGTTTGAAAATACCTACATGTGCAACCTTCAAACAATTCACATCAACACTTTAAAAAGCAATTCATTAGTTGTGAAGTCTTTTGAGATATTTTTAAGGTGAGAAGAGAGAGTTTTAAAAAGGACATGAGGGGCAACCTTTTTTGTTTAAAAGACATAGGGAGCGGTTTGTGTGTGGAATGAACTGCCAGAGGAAGTGATGGATGCACGTACGGTTACAACATCTAAAAGACATTTGGATAAGTACAGGAATAGGAAGGTTTGGAGGGTTACGGGCCAAATGCAGGTAAGTGGGATTGGTTTAGTTTGGTGTCCACTAGTTGGACCAAACAATCTGTTTTCAAGCTGTGTGACTGACTCCAATTAAAATTTTACCTATACACAACATTCAGTGAGTCAAAAGTTCTTGGCACAAAATATGCTTGGTTTATTAATTTTGGCTGTAGTTTCATTGCAAAACAGATGCTTGTTCAGTATATCCAACAATCCAAGACAGTAGAAAAGGTAGTTAGCCATTTGCTGCTACTCTGTCACATTTTGCAGCAGATTCTAGACTGGCACTTCCGGGTCTTGTGCAAACTGTGTAGAACGTTTTTTTTAAAGAGAGGTGGTGTACCCTGGATGTTCCAACACACACAATAGCATACCCACCGTTAACTTTGTTATTAAACAAGATTCTGAATAAATGCCAGGCACATCCTCCAAAACTAAAAATGGACAGAGGGAAGAGAAATATATGAAAACAGTTGCTCAAGTGTTAAATTATGACAGGCCTGTTGACTACTCCACTATGCCTGAAAGTGATGTAAAACCCATGAAAATTTAAAAGGAGCATTTATTGCAAGCTTAACCATTTCAGGTATATACAGTACTCATGAGATATCAAAAATAGATATCCAAGAGAAAGTCCTTATTTACAGCATCAGGTTTCAGTTGTTAAGTTACAACCAAGATGAGACAGCATGAACACAGAAGCATTTACACAGTATTTTTACAAAACGAAAACAATTTAAACTCTGCAGCCTAAAGTGATGGAAGGAACAAAAGCATGACATGATAACACACAGCAAGATGATTTGGTATAACAGCAGCTTGAAGAATGTCCAAAATACCAATTCACATTTAGGATGGGCAGTCTGCCTCAAATGCATTTGGATGTAACATGGAGCAGTTCACAATTAGTGATGCACAACAAATGTAGGTCAATAGTGTCTTCAACTGCTAAAGAAAATGCAATTATTTGTTGATCTCACGAAAATGACAAGTACCTGGGCAAAACATACAATGTAATTCTCATGAATTAATGGCCAGTAAGAATGGCTGAAATTACATTGAGTTCAGAACTCAGGTTACAATAATTTACAGATGATTCAGACAAAACCACCAAAGCAATGACAGAAAATATTCAATAAGCCTACATTTTATTTAAAAGTATTGTGTGAATACAATCTTGAATTCAAAGTATTTTCCCAAAGACTGAGCATATTTCTATTCACAAGACTTAATTATCAAAAAATGGGTTTGAATTACCAGAAGGGTAATTAAAAACAATTGGATGCAGATGCTTATAAGTTACTTAATACTAAGCAAACACAACTGTGGGGTCATGCAGCTTTAATGCTTGTGCTTTTCTGAAGAACATTTCATTGATGTTCGAAATACTTGCACAGTCCCCACAAATTCTTCTTTGAAGCTCCCGATAGGCCTGACTCTTAACCGTTCAATCCAGTAATAATATAGAAAATGTTCCATTCAAAAGCTAGCTAGTTAAAGAGCATTGTACTCCACACACTTTGATGGATCTGTTGGAAAATGCTTTTGGCAGATGGTCATCAACCTTTTCAAGCCCTAGAAGAACAGCAATGAGGAAAAGTAAGTTGAGGCGATGGTTTTTGGCGAATGAATGCAATCCGAAGGGCTAAGCATTTTCTTGAATCAAAACAGTTTAATTCTCAAACAGGAATTTGGAGAGGTTTTACAATTTTAAAGCCAACACGTACATCTTCATTAGGTAATTCACATTCCAATGTATAATGCCCAATGTACTAACCGTACTTAACAGTAAATGTTTTTGAATAGTATCGGGGAGATTCAATGCTCAAATACAGGTTCAGTTTTAGGTACCAGCCAAACGTTCATTTCAAACATGAAAACCAGAAACTGGTGCCCCCTCAACAATCTGCAAAAAGGTCTTTCAATAGACTCATTGTACCTGTAATTGCTAAGCAATTGTTTTTAACAATGTGTTTCTACTTTGCACAAGCTGTTTATAATTAAACTGAATACCTCAGAATTAAGCTAAATGTTCTATGTTGCTTCCCACTTAATTTCATCATAGCTTGTCAAATGCTATGTGAAATATTAGATTTGTTTCTTATCATTGTTTTCATAGTTTCTCTGTTTCTTTAAAGATTAGCTGATCTCTGACGCTGTTGCTCACAAGGTTAAGCCCAAGGAGTGCAGTTAATGAGTTAACCAGGCATGTTTCTCCAAGGTCACTGCTGAATGCTCTCCATAGCTAAATCAGGATAATTGTGGCTGCCTATAAACGGCTGAGGCTAATCAGAAAGTAACTGAACCAATTGTAAATTTCTAGCTAGGGTCAAGAAACCACAATCATGAAATAACTGCCCCTTTCTTTTGAAAAAGTGTGTTTTACATCTATAATACCGTACAATATTTTGGAGTGTCATTAGAGGCAACACATATTAGATTGCTGATCTCTTGTACCAGTGCAAGTCAGTGAATATACAAGAGCTGATTTTCCTTTGCTGGTGTCAGCCAGATTTGTGCACCCAGGGGATGTTGCACCTTCCCTAAGACCACTTACACAAGAACAAATGTGGGAAGAAGAATAAGTTAAAAAAAGTATAATAAAAGCCTAAAGATTAAAGTACCTTTCATTTAGGATTAAAAAGACAAACCTGGATGTATTTCCGCTGTGTTTCATCATTCAATACATGTGCCACGTGTTTGGAAAAGATTTTTTCACGACCTGTACGGGCATGGATACCAACCATGGTAACTCCAATAGGCCATGGAGCATTGCCAATGGCCATCTGAAGGTAAGCATCATTTGCCTGCGAAGACGACAAATGCTTCATAAAAAATCTATACTTACTGATAACACAAAAATGGTCCAGTTAACTGTTCATTAACTTCATCAACTAAATTGAACAAAAGCTCTCAGGTCGGTTAAATGGCCAAGCGATGCAAAGTGCTATTGCTTGAACTCTGATTCAACAGTAACAATTAGTTCTGAGCATCTTATGTGTTGAAGACACAGACTTCCAGATCATAACACTGCCTGGAACAGCTTTTTCCATAAAATTAAACTTGATAGCTGGTATATTATCAATATTTCTGAATTGATAAAACTATGTTCAGCTGCATGCTGGTATCTTCTGTAATTTCCCTTACTAAACTTCATAGAATATAACGTAAGGATCCTGTAGAAAGACAATAGCTCAACATCACAAAGGCTGCAGAGAATAGATACTGTTAAATCTATTAGACTTGATGGCTTTGAAACTTCTCTGTAGCTTCCCAAATAACAAGCTCCAGTATGTCATACTGCATGAGTACCGGCTATGTTGAATACATCTCACTGAAGGGGACAAGCAAGGTTGATCTTTTATAGAGATTTGTCCTCGACTACCAGCTTATCCTGTCATGATGATCATGGCTTTCCCCAGTGTGGGTGATATGAGGAGTGACACAAAGGAGCTCAGATATTAAAGTCACAGAGACTTTTGTTCTTTCCAGAGTAGTGGTGGGCTGACAATATTACAGCCCATCTTCCTGATGCACTTACTAAGTTGAACGATTGTGTTGTATGACTCTAGTATCCAAGGATGCAATGTATCAGATCGAGGGACTTGTCGGCCTTTAGTCCAATTAATCTCCCTTGTACTTATTTCTCGTGATAGTTACTGCGTATCTACTCACCACCTTTTGCCCCTTAATTTACTGAGTCCCACACTCTACATTCCCTTCACTATCAAAGGACCATCCCTGTTTTTAATGCTCTGTAACTCACATCAGGGTCCTTCTTTTTCTTTGTCAAACTCTCAATATTCCTTGACATCCAGGATTGTCTGGACTTGCCCTTCATTCTTAAGGAACACAATGGCGCTGAACTCGCTAAACTTCTTTTAAAATACTCCCACTTTCCAAATGTAGACTTACATATGAGTAGCTACTCCCAGTATGTGTTTGCCTGAACCGGTCTAATGATATTGAATTCGGCCTTCCCCCAGTTAGACTCCTTAACTTCTGCACTATCTTTATCCATTTCCATGAGGAATTTGAAACTTAGACTGATGGTCACTAACCCCAAAATGCTCTCCTATTGAAACTTGACCTTCTTCATTTCTTCAGATTGGGTGTAGCACGGCTCCACCTCTAGTAGGAATATCTACGTACTGGCTGCACATTTTAATAATTCCACTCCCTCTAATCCTTTGACACTAAGGCTGTTAATATTAGTTAATATTAGCAAAGTTGAAATCCCCTACTACAATAATCCTATTCCCCTCACACCCTTCTGTGACTTGCCTACACATCTGCTCCTCCATCTCCCTCTGACTATTGGAGGCCTGCAGTAAAATCCCAGCAAAGTGATCACTGCGTTTTTCTTTATTTCCAAGCTCTATCCAGATAGCCTCTTACTAAAGGAAGTAGATATAGAGATAGTGGATTCACTGGTAGTAATCCTCCAAGAATCTTTAGATTCTGGAACAGTCCTGAAGGATTGGAAAGCTGCTCATTTAAACCCTTATTCAAAAAGAGAGACCAAAACAGGTAACTATAGGCTGGTTAGCTTAACATGCAAGCACCAGAAAGTTGTTAAGCCATACATCATACTTCTTTCACCACCACATGTTCAAAACCTTGGAATTCCCACATCAACAGCATTGTGGTTGTTCCTACATGCTAAGGACTGCAGTATGAAGATGTGCGTTTAGTAACAGTATTTACCTTAACGTATTCCCTTTGTAACATGAATTTGATGATATCGGTTATGGATTCTTTGATGTCCTGGGACAGGGTCTGGGAGAAAGTAGAATAAATACTCATTTAAACTTGTATTTAGACAAACTATAATAAACTAATGCAGCATTTATTCAAGTCTTATACTACCAATCAAACTGTGACAATCAAATAGTTCATGAAAAATGACACAACAGTAATTGCAGATAAAAAGTATTTTACAGATTTCATAGTCAAACTCTGTTATGGCCACAGGCTTTAAGTTAAAAACATTCAAATCTTGACAGTTGGGGGTATTTACGAAGAAATGAATTAGGAGCAAAAGTAGGCCATTTGGCCACTTCAGCGTGCTCTGCCATTCAGTAAGATCACAACTGATTTGTTTGTGTCACAAATTTCATGTTCCCATCTCTCCCCGATAACTCGTGATTCCCCTACCTAATTAAAATCTAACTACTTCCACTTTCAAAATATTCAACAATCCCACCTCCAGCACCTGCTCAGGCAGAGTTCCAAACTTACCTGACCCTCAGACAGAAAAAAAATTCCTCATATCTGTCCTAAAAGGGTAATCCTAATTTTAAACTAGTGTCCCTGAGCTCTGGACTCACTCAAGAGTAAACATCCTTCCCACATCCACCTTGTCAAGACCTTTCAGGATCTTATACACTTTGGTCCAGACACCTTTTGCACTTCTGAACTCCAGTGGAAAAAAGTCCAGCCTGTCCAATCTTATTTCATTATACAACAATGGTCATTCCAGGTAGCAATCTAGTAAATCTCCTTTGAACTGCCTCCATGGAATTTAAAAGATTAATTTCCTGCTGGAAAGCTGAACTAGTTCATTCCAAACAATTTCAGTACAAGTCTTTCCTTTCCTGTGCACCAATCAGAGGATACCTAGCTGGCAGAAAACTCAAGTTAAAAAAAAAGCAGAAGTGACTCTAGCAATTTCAAAATTTTTACCTTCTTCCGAAGTTTCCTGAAGAGAGGTTTCAAGTAAGATTCAGTCTGCTTGTGGGTGGCTCCAGCAAGTTTACCCTGAACACTGCACTTTAAATAATCCTCCCTGGCATTCAGGTCTTTTGCCCAAACATCAAGAAGAAACTACAGAATACAAATCATAAAAATATATTAGAGAACCCTATGAAGAAAACACAAATTAGGTTATTAATGCAAGGTTAGGCCACTCAACCCCTTGAATGTGCTCCACCATTAAGATCATGGCTGTTCTAATTACTCCTTATTTCCACCTGCATTCAATAACCTTTCATTCCTTTTCTTTTCAAGAACCTATCTACCTGTGTTTTAAAGACATTCAAAGGCTCTGCTTCTGTGCTTTTTGAGGAAGAGACTTCCAAAGACACATGACCTTCTGATAAGGAAAAAAAATTCAGAATTGTTCTGAAGGGTCACAGGAGTTGAAACATTAACTATGGTTTCTCTCCACATATGCTGTCAGACCTGCTGAATTTCTTTAGCAATTTCAGTTTTTGTTTGTTTCAGGTCTTCAGCATCTGCAGTTCTGTTTTATATTATAGAAGAAAAGACTACTTTTTTGTCAAGTATTAGGAAACACAGACAAATAGCAGGTCAGGGGAAGTGCAATAGCATCAGATTTCACAAGTCAGGCTCTATTCTTAAAAGATCAGGAGATCAAAATACTGTCTTTCTGGATTGAGGATTGTTTCTACTTCATGGCACACACTGACATAGGCAGAACAAATTTTCTTGGATGCTGCAAAAAGCTTTTAGAGGTTTGTTTAAAAATCTTTGTTTTACCTCTGAATAGAGACTCAAAACAATCCAAATGCATTTCAGAGATTTTCATTAGTAAATGACAAAAGATTATGAATGTACAATCTTCAATTCTGTTTTCATTTTATGATTGTATTCCATAAAGCCTACAAGACACAGTTACACATGTATACTGTTTCTTCACATTGACATGACTTATACACCAAATTGTTTTCCTTTACTGGAAATTAGTATCTAGGCTAGCTCACTGAGCCCACTTAATCTTTGTTTTAACAGAACATGGATTGGCAAAGTTACATTTTAATCCTGATCCCATACAATTTACCAATATTCTTTAATACAAAGTGTGCTTTCAGATACGTTGAGTCAAAAAAATCATATTGCGTTATAATTGAACTGCTGGCAAGTGATCCTGTACAGGATCAGAAAGACACAAGGGAAGTGTGCTAAAGGGAGAGTCAGGCCTTTTTGTGGGGAGTGGGGTGGGGAGACTGAGTTGATCTGTCGGTCAAGTCAGTCCAAAGGAGAAGCAAGGGCCGAGACAGGGGACAGAGTGGGCTAGTCAAGATGAAGGAGTAGTAGTGAGGGCAGTGGTGGGCATTGGGAGCCATGAGATCCTTGCAGTCCAACTAATTTGGGTTTTTTTGATCCAGGTTATATCAAATTTCCACTATATTTCTTCATAATGCTTTCAGACAGCTGATGTTTGTTTTAAAATTATTACTACTTGTTGGAATTGGCTTGTTTATACGTAAATTGTTCAACTTTACTTGCTACTCTGTTGACTGGACCTTTAGAGGAGATGGAACAGCTGACAAGTACTGGAGACAGTCATAATGAGATTTTTTATTTTTCTTCCCCATGACAGTAATGTAGAGATATTTAGCAACGTAGTCATTTTTGCAATGAGTTATTATTTAAGACAAAGCAAATGTGCAGAGTGATAGAAAAATACAAGCTACTCCTACAACAGAGTCGTTGGAGACTGCTTCCCGTGCGCAAGTTGGTTAATGCATTTCCTACATTTCAAAAAAGACTCCACTTCAAAACACTTTATGGGCTGTAAAGTATTTTGAGAAGCTGGTGGCCATGAGTGATAAATAAGGTATTTGGCATGATTGAATCAGAGATAGTAGGAACTGCAGATGCTGGAGAATCCGAGACAACGAGGTGCAGAGCTGGATGAACACAGCAGGCCAAGCAGCATCATAGGAGCAGAAAGGCTGACGTTTCGGGCCTAGACCCTTCATCAGAAAAATCGCCTTCATTGCTCAGAGCGTTGAGTTCAGCAGTAGGGACATAATGTTGAGGTTGTATAGGAGGTTGGTGAGGCCACTGAAGCAGAAGAGTGCACTCTTCTGGTCACCCTGCTTTAGGAAAGATATTATTAAATTGGAGAGGTGCAGAAAAGATTTGCAAGGACATAACTGGAACTGGAGCATTTGAGTTAAAAGGAGAGGCTGGATAGGCTGGGACTTTCTTCAGTACAGCATAGGAGGTTGAGGGGTGACCTTACTGAGGTTTATAAAATCATGAGGGGCATAGATAAGGTGAATAACAAAGGTCTTTTCCTTAGGGCAGGGGAGTTCAAAACTAAACAGCATAATTTTAAGGTGAGAGGAGAAAAATTTAAAAAGCACCCGAGGGGCAACTTTTTCCACACAGAGGATGGTTCTTTTGTGGAATGAACTGTCACAATAAGTGGTGGATGCAGGTAGAGTTACAACATTTAAAATATATTTGGACAGGTACACGAATGGGAAAGGTTTAGAGGATATGGGCCAAACGCAGGCAAGTGGGACTAGTTTAGTTGGGAAACTTGGTCAGATAGATCGAAGGATCTGTTTCCGTGCTGCATGACTGACTCTAAATGCAAACTTTCCCCCTCATAATGGTCAGGGAATTCATTAACTCATTTAAAATAGCTTTAAAGTAAATAGTGGGGAGGTCCAGGTTCAAGTATCAACTGCTCCAGAGGTGTGTCATAATATTTCTGAACATGTTATGTTATATAAATTACTTGGATCTGAACATTGGAGGTATGGTTATTAAGTTAGCAGAAGACACCAAAAGTGGTGGTGTAGTGGACAGTGAACAAGGTTATCTCAGAGTACAATGGGTCCTTGATCATATGGGCCGATGGACCGAGAAGTAGCAGATGGAGTTTAATTTAGACAAATGTGATATACTGCATTTTGGAAAGCCAAATCAGGGCAGGACTTATACAGTTAATGGTAAAGTTCTGGAGAGTGTTGCTGAACAAAGAGACCTTGGAGTGCTGGTTCATAGTTCCATGAAAATAAAGTCACTGGCAGACAGAATAGTGAAGGCAGCGTTTGGTATGCTTGCCTTTATTGGTCAGTGCATTGAGTATAGGAGTTGGGAGGTCATGTTGCAGTTGTACAGGACATTGAGTAGACCACTTTTGGAGTATTGCGTTCAATTTGAGTCTCCCTGCTATAGGAACATTATTGTGAAATTTGAAGAGTTCAGAAAAGATTTACAAGGAGTTGCCAGGGTTCGAGGGTTTGAGCTGTATGGAGAGGCTGAATAGGCTGGGGCTATTTTCCTTGCAACATCAGAGGCTGAGGGGTGACCTTATAGAAGTTTATAAAATCATGAGGGGCATGGATAGGGCGAAATGCCAAGCTCTTTTCCTCGGGGTGGGGGAATCCAGAACTAAAGGGAATTGGTTTAAGTTGAGACAGGAAAGATTTAAAAGGGACGTAAGGGACAACTTGTTTCAGGCAGAGAGTGGTGTGTATGGATTGAGCTGCCAGAGGAAATGGTGGAGGCTGGTACAATTAAAACATTTAAAAAGCATCTGGATGGGTATATGAATAGGTAGGATTTAGAGGGATAAGGACCAAATACTGGCAAATGGGACTGGATTAATTTAGGATATTTGGTCAACATGGACAAATTGGACCAAAGGGTCTGTTTCCATGCTGTACAGCTCTATGACTCTAAGTTGATTAGAAATGTCTAAAACTATTAAAAAGGAACTGAATGAAATGTACCTGCTGAGAGCTTATCCCAGGGTAATGGGTTGTTTAAAGAACTAATGACTGAATCCCTAATGGGGACAAGTCAGATGGAAAATCCTCCAAATTCCAGTGAATGCGACAAAAACAAAAAGAAATAAGTTGGCTCTCCTGGTACAGCTATCAGGTTTAATAGGGGCAGGCCTTAGCCAGAGGCATGGCGATAAGATGGAGGCTGCCAGTTTCCAAAGTTGGAGGTTTTGCAGAAAAGATGGCGCCACCAAAATCAAGTAATTCAGCTGGTTAGGTCCAGGAGGCATTCTCTGTTTGGCAAAGGGATACTGATTCATATTCATTTCAACTCTAGAGTCAGCCGAGATTGATCAGCAAAATCAAGCAAGCTTCCTCATAGGGACTACTGCAGAGTATTTCTAACTTTTCTGTAAGGTTCTGTACTTGGATAATGTGAAATCTGATGAGAATTGTTATTCTATATGTCCACCTGCTGTCTGTAAAATAAAGCAGCTTAAAGATTTGCATTTAGCCTCATCCCACTAAAGCTTTTGCCCATCTGTTTTTGAAAAGACTGGAAAAGTCCTTGTGAAAGCACGAGTGAAATAGAATATTAAAGTACCAACCACCAATGGGTACTACATTTACACTCCTAGATTATATTGTTGAGCAATACGCACTGCAGTCACATTCATGAACACATGCTGCTTAGACTGCTCATAGTTAGTGCCAACTTTGTAAAACAGGAAAGGTTTATATAAGGTAGATCTGAAACATATAAGCAGCTGAAAAATTCATCCAGATATTAAAAACAGTTAATGCAGATTACTGTGTTGTCTGGAGATGTTAATGATTACTTGGGATTGCCAGCACAGTGAAGGGGGGAGATCATTGGATCAAAAAGTCTAACTATTCTGTATGAGCTTTTGTTCAAAAAGCCTAACAGGCAATCTCAGTGACAATTAGTCCTATTAAGACTGACAGCTGCATCAAATCATGAAATATACCCTTACGACATATAGCTGGCTAGCTCAGTTGGGAGAGCACGAGCTTCTTAATTTCATGGTCACGGGTTCAAGCTCCACATTGGGTGCCTTTATAATGGAACCATGCTTTCCAAGGGGAAGCCCCGGTCTTCATTCCTCCATGAGTGTCACTGCTTAAACAGGGTCTCTCTCTAGGAGAGGACCCTCTTGTGGCACAGTGGTATTGTCCCTACGCACCGGTGTGTAATAACAGCTCTGAACAAGTTGATTAGAAAAACAGGCTGACAACATCGTTGGCCCTCGTGTGGTGTGGCAGTAGTGTCCCTACCTCTGGACCAGGAGACTTGGGTTCAAGCCCACCTCTTCCAAAGCTGTGTAATATTACCTTGGAGCAGGTTGATTGGAAAAATACACTGGTATTATCAACAGAGGACTTTATAAACCGAGGAGTAATGCAGATAGTAAATGATATATTAATCATCTGTTAAAGTTAACCGTTTTCTCTCCTGGTCGCAATACACAAAGCCTGACCATGGCTATCAAGTACATGTTTACACTAGGACAGATGAACAGCTGATAATGTACCACCTCAGGCAAGTGTTTGGCTTTAAGATTTCAGGTTTCCAAGGAAGATTACAGTGTGGTCAGTGGTTTTATTTTGGGGGAAGCATGCACACTGGAAATTTCACATTGTAAGCTACCTAAAATTCTTCAGAATCAATACATTGGGGTTCTTGATGGGCAAGAACAATTTTTAATAAATTCATGTTCATCAAGGAAAGGAACTTTATTGCCCAAGAAAACACCATATTCCACTTCAAATGTTGACTGATAGCATCAAGCAGTCTACTTCAGGTACAGAATGCTAGATACAGATTAAATCTCCTCTAATTTGTCCTCAGTATGTGCCTCTAAAGAACGACTTCAACTCAATACATTGGAAGTGGCTGTTTTCCAACCCAGCTTTTGTGTGGTCTCCCCTGGTGGGACTGTCAATTTTGAGCCAATTATTGCTGAATTATGAGCAGTCTTGTGCGTTAGGCTCACTTCTATTAGGAATGAAATTATAGCCACCAGAACAAGCATAGTTTCATCATGTCAGACATGGTTGGTTCACTCTCTGGACCAACTCATTAAATAGACATAATTCACTGTCAGAAATAAGTGCTCTAAAAATATTGTTAGCATTTGTTGTCTTACCCTTAGGACTTTGGTTATGGTATCCATGTCTTTACAGTCATCACCCTGGCCCAAAGACTCACCCAAGGCCTGTAACAAAACAGATGAACTATCAGTTGAAATTTGTGGAAGCATTGTGAATTAACCAATTAACAGCAGTTAATATGAAGAAACAACTTATTTGTAGCTGTTGTGACATTATAAAAAGTACATTGCTTTATTAAAAAAAATTGGCTAATGCCTTTTAGTTTGGTAGTCATGTGACATTATACAGCTGTTGCAAGAGGGAAAATTAAAAAGACTGCAATTCACATTGAGTATGTTAGTGCAGATATGCTGTACAAATGAACACTTTTGCAAATGCTGGCTCTGGACCTAGATTGAGCAGCATTATGCAAGAGTCTCTCAGGCTGCCAATGATAGGTTTATCTTCTACTGAATTTGAAGATTCAGTTTCTTGGTCAGAGTTTATTTGCTGTCTCACTAGCACATTGGCCAGCTGATATCTTCCAAAGAAGACAACCTACCACCTCAGGAAATGAAGACGTGCAGCCTTCAGTACTCATGGGTTATTTGCCACAAGCAGTGTAGAATCAAAAGTGGGAAAAGTTTGATTTGCTGGTTGCTCAGCAGGTTTATGGCACTGAAAGAAGCAATGCTTTCTCAGACCAATATTACCAAGTCTCCCTCTGCTGTGATATCCCTGACATAGCACTTCAGACCCTCCAACTATCTCAGTCAGTATGTTCACATCACTTTTTGCAGCATATCCTCTCGCATATGTCGTCACCCTTCATTTGCAATCATTTGTCCTAATGCTATTTCTTTCAATGTCTATCATGATATACTGTAAAATATATTATTGGTACAGAAATCTAGAAGGAAAGAAAACACTAGAAAACTATAGGTCAGTCAGGTTCTGAAAAAGATTCAATATTTATATCAGAATATGAAGCATTTCATTCAAATCCTTCTCTGTAAGATGTGATCGAGTCGCTATAAATTTCTTGAACTCAGACTTTCAGTATTTCTGGTTGTCTTTCATTCTGTTTTATACTTTCAACATGTTTGCGCTCTTTTGAAATCAGCATTTTTAAAGCTCCTTCAGTCATCTTCAGGTAGTTTCTTTCATTCTTTTCAACAGCTTTAGAAACTTACATGATACTGTGTGTATCTTTCCCAAATGCAGGTTTGTCAGAGACTTTTCATATTATTGAATATAAATGATAATTTCAAACTACTAAAGCATGAGATCACCCAACAATAAGTTCTTACCTGCTTTGAATCAAAACATTGGCGAGAAATTTTGTTTCAGAAAAGGCAACTTAACTTCCAAAACACAGTTACCAGTTAATAGTTCAAAAACAAGCAAGATTATTAAATAGCAGTTACCTCCAAAAAAACATAAAGAATGAGCTGGAAATGTTAGATTGCGCAAAATGCAGAACTTGATGGCAACTATCAATGAGAATTGGAAGAATTCAGAAATAATCATCATTATTCAAGGTGATATGCTATGTACAATGACCAGGTCCAAATGGTGTTATTACTATTACTCAAGATGTGTAGAAGGCTAACTGAGATTATGCATTTTTGAAGAAATAAGGGAACATAGCAACAGGATGGGCCAATCAGCTTCTCGAGTCTGTACCACAATTCAATGAGACCCAGGCAAATCTGTGGCCTAACTCCATATACCTGCCTTTGGTCATATCCCTTAATATCTTTGCTTAACAAACATTTATCTATCTCAGATTTAAAATTAACTGATCCAGCATCCACTGCCATTTATGGAAGAGTTCCAAAAACCACCAGTTTGTGTGTAGAAATGTTTACCAACAGGATTAAAGTTAAAACAACTACCTAGCTAGACCTGAAAGTCAATAAGAATCTATCAGAACCATCAGATGTTGTTTCTGTAGCATCAATCAATTTTGAACAATGGAAGTGAGGGATGGAAGAAAACTTCCAGAAGGTTGCTCAGGCATCAGTAAAATATAACACCAATTTTCATACAATCAAGACTACACTCCATGACGCAGATGTGAAGAATAAAAGGCAAGATCTCTGGAAATAATTAAGACCTCAGTATCCTAAAGCTGAATGAAGTAGAACATTTTAAAGCTTTGGTTCATCCAACCTCTGAATTACCTTAAGGAACGAGTTCACAAAGCTTGATTCTTACCTCCAGCTCCTCAATTGTTGTATTTTCTTCATGAACTTTCAGGTCATTCTGTCCTTCCTCTTCACCATGTTCCTGACCAGCGACAATTTCATTTAAGTACTGCTGGTCTATCTTATCCATAGCAGCTTTCAAGTCATTTCTCAAACCCTATAGGAGGTCAGACAAAACAAAAACACCTGAGTTTTTATGAATGATGGAATGACTAATTGGAATTATTACATACTGGTTGGCTCACTTGTTGTTTGGAAAGTTTTCCATATTTTCACTCTTGTATGTTAACCCTTCATCATGCAGAATAGCAATCACGAAATTGCCTTACATGAGCAGAATTTCAGTTTTTTAAAGTAATTTATAGCAGTTGTAGCTATGTCTTTGTATTTTCTGGTTCCTTGTTTTAGTTTTATATTCTGAAAGCTTCCAAAGTTACTTTATCTTGGAGTGATGCAAGGCTACGGATATGAGATTGGTCATGATCCTATTGGTTGGCAAATCAGGCTCAAGGGGCCAAATGGTCTACACCTGTTCCTATTTCTTGTCATTTTATTATATATTCTCAGAATCTGGCTTGAAATATGAGATTAAAATGTCAATACTAATAAAAGGAAACATAATATTACTTATTACAATCCCAGCTGATAGAAATACATGGCCATTCAGATCCCAGGAGTACAACCTGCCTTGACCCTAAGCTTTATTTTCGCATTTTGGTTACTGTGATGGTCAGTCACTGAACCTATTCACAAGTGGCTACTAATGTACTTCACAAGTAAATTTACAAAATGAAATGAAAGAAACCAAGACCTTTATACAATATGTTATAACAATTAGGAAAGATCTTATCAAAAACAGCAAAAAGATTCGAAAAACGTGTGGCTGTAAGAGCTGCTCCTTTTTGAGGTATTTTCAGTGGTGGAGCTGATTTCCTTGAATTCTAGGAGCAGTAATTACTGTTATATAAGCTGTTGCAATGTTTTGGAACTTTGGGAAAAACGATCAAACAGCTGCACTTTAAAAAAGATGGAAGGGAGACAAAGGCAGCGACCACATGGTGGGAAGTGAATCAACGAAGAAAGAAACGTACACTGCTGTCTGTCCCAGCAGTGAACCTTCACACTTAACCGCCTCTGCTGTTTGATTTCAAGACATCAGAGTTTGTCTAAGAAAAATAAATAGCAAAATTCACAGCTGACCTTGGAGAAACCTGTGTGGGGAGATCACAGCAAGGGAGCAGCTAAGTGGCTAGTTTTTTGTAAATCTACATTAGTGATTAAATGGGGTTCTTTTTGATTGTATGTTTTAATTGAAATCTGTCTGTTGATTAAACTTTAAAATATAAAACAGACAATAAGTTAGCCTGGAGCAGTGTTTTTAGAACAGTAAGACTGTGCTATTTTCTGCATCAGTAGATTGTTAAGGTGCAAAGATGGCCTTTAATAGAGTGATACACTTTTCCTGTTGGATCACATGGATCGGTTAGAGCAGCACTTAAGGCAATGAGGAATTTACAGGAGCCAGGGGGTGTGATGGATGGCAGTTGCAGGGAGGGAGATAACTGAAAACACGATCGGGTAGATGGGTGACCTCCAGGAAAGGTAGGAGAGGTAGGCAGGTAATGCAGGAGTCTCCTGTGATGATCCTAATCTCAAACAAGAATGCTGCTTTGGAAAATGTAAGGGGTGATGGACTCACAGGGGGATGTAGCACTGATAGCCAGGTTTCTGGTACCAGGACTGGCTCTAATGCAACAAGGGGTAGGCCAGGTTCTAAGCGATCGATTGTGGCAGGGGACTCTCTAGTTGGAGGCACAGACAGACGTTTCTGCAGGTGAAAGTGAGAAATCAGAATGGTATGTTGCCTCCCTGGTGCCAGCATCAAGGATATCTTGGAAAGGGTGCAGAACATTCTCAAGGGGGAAGAGGGACCAGCAGGAGGTTGTAGTACATGTTGGAACTAACAACACAGGAAGAGATAAGGACAAGATTCTGAGGAGAGAATATAGGAAGTTAGGCAGGAATTTAAAAAGCAAGTCCTCAAGGGCAGTAATATCTGGAATACTCCCAGCGCCACAAGCTAGTGAGGTTAGGAATAGGAGGATACTACACATGAATACATGGCCAAGGAGCTGGGGCAGGGGAGAAGGATTCACATTTTTGGATCACTGGAGTCTCTTCTGGGGTAGAAGTGACCTGTATAAGGGGGACGGATTGCACCTGAATTTGAAGGGGACTAATATACTAGTGGGGAGATTTGCTAGTGCTGCTTGGGAGGATTTAAACTAGTAAGCGGGGGGTGAGACCCAGGGAGATAGTGGGGAAAGACAGCAGTCTGAAACTGATACAGTTGGGAAAGGGAGCAAGTCAAACAGTCAGAACAAAGCAAAGAACGAGGTAGGACTGTTAAATTGAACTGCATTTATTTCAACGCAAGAGGGCTAACAGGTAAGGCAGATGAAATCAGGGTACGATTGGAGACATAGGACTGGGATATCATAGCAATTACAGAGATGTGACTCAGGAATGAACAGGATTGGCAGCTTAATGTTCCAGGGTATTGATGCTTTAGGAAGGATAGAAAGGGGAGCAAAAGAGAAGGGGGAGTGGCGTTTTGATTAAGGATAACATTACTGCTATACTTAGGGAGGATATTCCTGGGAATACATCTAGGGAAGTTATTTGGGTGGAACAGTGAAATAAAAATGGGACGATCACCTTATTGGATTCTGAAGCGGGGTTATACCCGAAACATTGACTGCTCCTTTTCTCCAAATGCTGCTGGCTTGCTGTGTTCTTCCAGCCTCTAAGGTTCAAAACTTGACCTACTCTTGGGAAATACGGCAGGGCAGGTGACTGAGGTGTCAGTGGGGCAGCACTTTGGGGCCAGTGACCATAATTCTAGCAGTTTTAAAATAGTGATGGAAAAGATTAGACCACAACTAAAAGTTAAAGTTCTAAATTGGAGAAAGGCCAATTTTGATGGCATTAGGCAAGAACCTGCTTAAGTTGATTGAAGGCAGATGTTTGCAGGTAAAGGGACAGCTGGAAAATGGGAAGCCTTCAAAAATGAGATAACAAGAGTCAGGGACAGTATGTTCTTATTAGGGTGAAGGGCAAGGCTGGTAGGCAGAGGGAATGCTGGATGACGATGAAATTGACATTCTGGTCAAGATAAAGAAGGAAGTATGTGTCAGGTATAGATGGCAGAGAATGAGTGAATCCCTAGAAGACTGTAAGGGCAGTAGGAGTATACTCAAGAGGAGAATCAGGAGGGCAAATGGGGGACATGAGATAGCTTTGGCAAATAGGGTTAAGGAGAATCCAAAGGGATTCTACAAATACGTTAAGGACAAAAGAGTAACTAGGGAG